ATTTAATAAAAAGTGAAGATTACAAAGGCAATTCCAATTATGGTAATGTCTACTGTCGCAAACTTTACAACGACCCAAAATTGTCTTCAATTTTTTTTTGGAACAAAAAAAAATAAGAACAAAGAATCTCTTTATCGAAGGCGCTTTAAGACGCAGAGATTCATTCACAACCTATCACATGATGGATCAATGTGGACCCAATTTCATGCACAATAACGAAAGGGTACAGAAAAGCCTAACAGGACCCATATCAGTCAACAGCACTAAAATACTCCCGGCTGAAACCACATTGGTCAATTCCCCTATTCAACATGAGCACAAAAGAATACTAAATAAATGAAAGCAAAACTTTAGAAAATGCACAACTATAACAAACAAAAAAATATGAACGCAACCAACACGTACCAAAGACGGTCAAATTGAGCAGATGATGAAGCAAATACAGTTGAAGCAGCGTGACGATCACTGGGTGGAACAGAAACGCGGAAACAAGAAAAATAAGGGCATTGTTCATAAATTAAGCAGGCTTGCGTTCGCTTGCCCAGACACCTGCAGACAATGGCATGGTCAAACCTTCTACATACCCTCGTCACATAGTAACAGTGTTTTGATGTGCTTTAGAAAATAGGATTTACTAATCTAACACTCTATGTCAGGAGAGCATATAAAAGGTCTTAGCAGTAATCTAAATATCACAGTATTCGAAAACAGAAAATCAGAACTTACATTCTCATAACCGATATGTACACAGGTGACTTCAAAAGTTACTCAACTTATATTAAGGCTGTCACGAAAGACGTAGTAGGTTCTGTTTTCCCCACACCAACCCATTAAGACCTCGTATTCAGTAAGGTACACTCGTAGTTGCCTTCACTATATTCATAGTCCCATGTGCCATCATTTGGTAATCGGCGGTTCCAGGATTATCGATCGGCAAGATGGGCACAAACACAAAAGGCAGCAAAGCAATACCATCCCCCGCACCAAATCGAAAAACACTGTGATAATTTAGCATATACTAAGACTTTTATATGCTCTCGCTGAATAGAGTGTTAGATTAGTAAATCCTATTTTCTAAAACACATCAAAACACTGTTACTATGTGACGAGGGTATGTAGAAGGTTTGACCATGCCATTGTCTGCAGGTGTCTGGGCAAGCGAACGCAAGCCTGCTTAATTTATGAATAATGCCCTTATTTTTCTTGCTTCCGCCGTGTTTGTTCCAGCCAGTGATCGCTCGCTGGCCTTCAACTGGTCATTTGCCCTTCACTCATCTGCTCAATTTGACCGTCCTTGCGCTACGTGTGTGCGTTCATATTTTTTTTTTGTTTGATATAGTTGCTGCCACTTTTCTAAAGTTTTGTTTTTTTTTTTCACCTTTATTTAATTTGCTATTCTTTTGCCTACTCATGCTTGAATTTTAGCGGGAATGACCACAGGTGCCGATTTCAGCCGGCGGCAGCTATTTAAGTGCCTGTTGACGGGGATATGGCGTCTCTGTTAGGTTTTCCTGTCCCTTTCGCCTTAATTGGCATGAAGCCTTGAAGTCCACATTATGATTCCATCATTGCTATTAGTGTTCCCTGAATGAATCTCTGCGTCTTAAAGCGCCGTTGATAAAGAGATTCTTTGTTCTTATTTTTTTTTGTCCAAGTCCAAAAAAATTGGAGACAATTTGGGGTCGTTGTAAAGTTTGCGACAGGTAGACATTACCATAATTGGAATTGCCTTTGTAATCTTCACTTTTTATTAAGTCACTGACTTCAATAGAAAATCGTAGGCTGCACTCAAAGTTCCGCATTTATTGTATATTTATCTATTTTGAAGCATATTTCTATTATATTTATATTTACCAGCAGGTGCTGTAGTCGTCGCTACTTACTATATTTGAGTAGGAAACTTTATCTCTTGAACAAAATGAGGAAAAGATTGCTGGAAATGGAAAAATTTATTCGAATTAACAAATTTCACAGAAATACAGGGTCAAAAGGCTACAGAAAGGAAATGTTTACTACGTATGAAGAAACCGTTCAAAGGAACACGCCACTGTAAAACATAATTAGAGATAAATAGCATTGCCGGAAATGCGGAATGGGAATATGAGAAGCGATATGGTCAATAGCGAATACGCGTAAGAAAGAAGAAGCACTCACATATGATACTCTGTTTCCGGCGGTGAGACATGTCGTAATTGCAGACTTAGTATTAGACATGAGATCTCAAGAGCAGACCATAAGAATAGACCCCGCTGCGGGAAACAGAATATACCTAGTTTTTGTAGATAGAAGAAGGTAATAGAACGTCCATCAAACTCAAGCAGTCAAGTCCATGCAAATGCAGGTATGATGAGACGACTCGTTGCTCTATGTGAAAAATTTTCATTTGAAATTCCACCTAAGAATTCATATAAAAGAGGTAGGAATTTCGAAATGTATCAGGAGCTTGAACAAATATTGCGGCATGCGCCCTACATAGGTGCCGCCACGCGACCCCACTCTTTGGAAAGCCACCCCCCCCCACTCCTGCATTTACAAAAACATGACTGAAGTTCTTCTATATAGACTAACGGCCACGGAACTTCAACAGACATATAAGATCGGTAGGTCACGATCGCAATCACAATCAGTTGCGGAGGAGCGGGACGCGTTTTTGACGCGATGTCAGAGTCGCGGTGGGAGGGGCGCCGTACTGCGTGTACCCGACAGGAGGCCCGTCACGCGGCAAGAAGGCTCAGTACGCGCGCGAGTCGTCCGCTGACTCTGCCTTGTTGCCGCGCGACGGACCTCCTTTCGGTTACTCACGTAATGCAAGCCACACGTGCCAAAACAATCCACTCCACTCACGCGCCCCGCCCATAAAGGAACTGCGATTGTGATTGCAAACCAAAGTGTCAACCAAGTTATTGACACCTACCTAAATACTCACTCTCTGTGCTCGGTCAAAGTATAGTAATAAAGGTCAAAGTATAAACGAGATGATACGGAGATACAAAAGTAAACTTCACCTACGAAAACTATGGGGTTTGTATGAAATATCACAATAACTAACCATGCCACGGTTTTAAAAAGCCTTGCTAACGCTACTTAATTTTACCACAAGCCAGTTATACGTATTTTTGTGCCAAAATTTTACTTGTTTTATATTTGTACAGTTTACTATCTCGCGACAGCCGTGCCAGCTACTTCGGAGTTCGCTCTGCGAAAATAAAAAAAACCACAGCTGTTGGCAAAATAATTAGGCAGCGACCGCACGCGTCTGCTGCTGGTAACCTCAGACACGGTGCATCAAAGATTCAAACTGCACAAAACTAAAACCAGCGCTATTTTTCCTTGAAGGTAAGAAAAATAATGGTTAAACATCATAAGCCGACAACCAAGTAAAAAGTATGAACTAAGCCGGATACTGTAGCGATATCACACACAAAGGAATTCACCTAACTAATAAATTCTGATAAAATCACACAAAGCTTTGCCGGAAGCACGCTGTATCATATTCGTGCCATGTTACGTGGCGAGCATGGTAGCTAGTAATAGAATGTAAATGGAAATGAATAAATCATATGTTGGCTGATCGCCAATTTCCGAATCTACTGAACGTTTCAGCTTCTACAGTATCGGTAAAAAGCGTTCGCCGAGAAAAAACTTTTGTGGATTTTTTTTACTTCAACAATTTGTTTCGAATACTGACTTGCTATGTCTTTCAGTGTTATCGAAATCTTAATTTTTAGATTTAAAACATATGAAAGAAAAAAAACTCCAGTCGATTCTTAAAGGCATGCTCCAGGATCAAATTGGTGTG